TTTAAACTCGTTACACGATGCAAAAGTACAACTCTTCTTAAACAACAAGTACAACAAGTTTCTTAGTCGTATCAGAAAATTTAGGAGCATAAACATACATCTGTATATATAAAAATGAATGTGTGTGTGTGTGTGTGTCCTTCATGCATTACCACACCGTTTATCCAATTGCCGTGAAACTTTGGGAAGTTGTTTAATATACTCCAGCGAAGGTTTGTGGCATAGTACGATTGCCATGAAACTTTGGAAAGTTTTTTAATACCCTCCCGCGAAGTACATTTATCCTACGATAGATGGCGCGTGTTTACACGAGCGTTCGAGCACTGTGTGTTCGATCCATTTCAAATTGTGAAGACTATTTCCCCCTTTCAAAAAATAACTCTATATATGCATTTGTTATTTACGATATTTGTAATAATTTTTGTTTAATCACTTTATTTCAACTTTTTTTTGCTAATTATGTATTCGCTCGAACTTCGTTAAAACCTTAACTGTACCCCGAACAACAACCGAAGTTGTAGGAAGAAATTCGCGTATTTTACCGATCTAGGTATCCCCCTTTTCCAAATTTTAATATCGACTCAAAATAATTTAAAAAGACAAATTACAATAAAACGGTTTATTATCCAACTATCAGAAATTTCACAACATGCCAAGGAAGAGAGGAAGGAGCAATTAAATAATTAAAATTATAAAGGATTAAAAAATATATATAAAAATGGGGAATATCGCACTTCTGACAATCGCTGCGAGTGTGTGGGCTAAATTTGGAGAATCCGTGCTTCTCGCATGGACAACTGTATGTGGCCGGCTCACGCGTCGGAAAACCTTCTGATTTATTCGTGTACGCACCAGACAGAAAAACAAAAAATATCGTGTATCCACAAGCACTCCAATAAATAGAATTGAAACGACACTTTGAAATGTTTTCCCGATGAAAATCAATAATAATAATAAGTTTCAATAAAAATGATAAAATGTAAATTGAATTTTATCATAACGAGTTTGCTTGAATTTCCTTTCTTCTGAGATCGCAGCAATGTGCGATGGGTAAGCTAGTCAGTCATAAACATGTTCTAGAGAGAACATACTTATGACTGCTTGTGCAACCATTTTAAGAATTGTGTAGAAATTGTACAATAGCAAATATTAATTTTCTCCTTATCAGTGTTTTCGCTAAGCTCACAGTTGTTGCACACCTGCACAATTGAGCTTCACAGTTGAATTACCAAGGGCAACTGTAATCATTGCTCAGACTTATACATGTGATTCTCTGGCTTAGAGGAAACATTGATCATAAAAGTAAGAAGACATAGCAAATGATTATAGAATGCAGATTTAATATATATGTAAATAAAATGGGATTATATTTTCAAATAAGTTTTAGTGAAATACAAATTTGAAATACTACATTTTCAATAACTTTCAGTTGAATATATTTGTTGTTTTTAATTACAGTAGAACCCTCTAATCCGTCACCTTTGGGACTGGGGGTATGGTCAGAACGCAAAAAAGGTCGGATTATCAGAAAAAAGTAAAATAAACAATCTTCCCCTTTGTCTAGTCTTTGTAGCATTGCTAATTTTTCATTTAATGAAAGAGTAACATGTTTACGTTTCACTCCTGACATGTTGAAAACACACACAAAACTGTACATGTGCACACAATGTAAAACATATACTGTAACGAACACAGAAAAACGCCAAGGATGGTGAGTCACCGACGAGTTGGGACAAGTTTCTCGACTCCGACCACGGTCGAATTAACCGGAGTGACGGACTAGCCGAGGGCGGACTAGAGGGGTTCTACTGTATTTAATTTTTGAAATAAGTTCTTCTACTGTATTTATTAATGCTAATAAAAAGTACTGTAAATTTTTTATTGATTATATATATAATCACTTTCTATACTATATAGTGTGTTGCAAAAACTGTTCTTCTTGGAAATATGTGATAGAATTCATCAAGATAAGCAAAAAGTGTAGAGTAACATATTTGCAAATTCATGATAATTAACAAAATATTCAAGGTTTGCCAAATGATGCTAGAATGGACCATCATTACAGATCTGTTACTGAAAATGGAAGGACAGCATTGAAAAGCAATCACATAAAGCTTGTCATTGCACTTGTTTCTTTCCCCCCTCTAAACTGACAACAGTGGGATTCTAAAATAACCTGGAGAAGCCTTTTTATTGAATGTTTTGTGTGAAATAAAGTGGAAACAATTGCATTTTTTTCTTGTTTTAAAATATTGTTCATTCCAATAAATGTTTATCTTTAAAAAAATAGTTTAAATAGTGATAACTATAGTGTAGTTTCTGATAAAAACTGGGTTCAAATTTGCAACTTTAACCTCAGATATTTTGGTAACTATTGTGAATTTGCAAATATGCTAATCTTCTGAATGTTCTTTGGAATTAAGCACAAATTTGCTATTGAGAACTTATTGTACAGGATCACTTTTTTTGATGGAAAAAAATAGATTTTATTTTCTATATTTTATAAAAAGAAATGCATTTAGCGCTATATGCCTCTCTCCAGTTTTTATTACATATAAAACTGTAATATAATTAATAGTGACAACTGGAATAACTAACTTGTAAGTGTTAATTAAAAACGTAGGGTAAAACCAGTAAAACTAAAATAAAATTGAAGTCAAAACTGTCCAAAAAGGATCACCATTTATTACTTGTTCCAAGACTAAAACATTCTCCATCGGACAAACTTTTACAGAAGAAATTTCTACATATATCGTTACCAGGGGGCAACTTTTCTAAAAATCTACATTTTCCAGCGCTAATCTTTAGTAGATAAAAAGAAGAAGAAACCCCAAAAGAAGGTATGATCGAAGTAAGCAAGACAACTGTATGTCACCAGTTCCTTTTTCAGAAATTTTTTAAAATTTTAATTGGATGTGTTTTGTGCTTTTTAAAAGGACTTTTTGTAAACTTTCTGGCGACAAGTAGCCTAAAAAGGAAGGTCAGTCGCCGAAAATGTTTTAGTCTTGGAACACAAGTAATAAATGGTGATCCTTTTTGGACAGTTTTGTCTTCAATTTTATTTTATTAGAAATAATTCTCCATCGGACGAACTTTTACATTAGTAAAACTAAAACTAAAAATTAAACATTGCTAAAAATATAGAAAAAATTGACAAATAAAAGGAGTAAAACATAACTTTAAAAACCAATAAAACCAGCTAAAATAAACCAAACACTTAGTTATTCCAGTTGTCACCATTAGTTTTATTACAGTTTTATCATTATATGTAATAAGGACTGAAGAGGGGCATATTTTAGCCCAAAATGCATTTCCTTTTGTAAAAAAGAGAAAAATAAAATTATTTTTTTTTTGTAAAAAGCATTCCTGTATGATAAGTTCTCCGTAGCAAATTTGTGCTTAATTCCAAAGTACATACAACAAAAAGAGAGAACAGCAAGCAATCAAGTATTAATGTTACTCTGCTATGTTTTTTTTGTTTATCTCCACAAGTTTTATGACCCATTTCCAGGAAGAATACTTTTATTGCAACATACTGTATACAGGGTGATTCAAATGTGATGTATAAAATTTTATGGGGTAACCAATTATTCAATTTACAGTAAAAAAATGTTAATTATTTTTGAGAATTGGACAGAGGTTTATTGAGTTACAGAGAAAGATCTTATTTTAAGTCATTTACAGTTTTAAATCTAGTTAGCATTGAAAAACAACAATATAAGATATGTGTATTCTGTTAAAATTTAAAATGGTGTTCAATTAATTAATTGAATTCACAAAGCTGCTGCAAAAATATGTCAAAGTTCCAAACAACTTCATAATGTACCCACTTCTATTATCCACAGATGTGAAGCTTCTGTAGCTAATGAAGGCAATCACTTTCATTACCTCTCATAAACTTAATTTTTCTTTAAGTATTAGTTAACTAAACATAAATGGCTTCAAAACTAATAAATAGTGACTTGGGGTAGTTTGTATTAGTTAATATTGAAACTGATTTGAAATAAAGATTTTTTTCTGTAATTAAATTTTTGCTGATAATAGGATTACAAACAAATAATTTTGATTTATAATTTGGATATTTAATAAATTTTAATTTATTAATGATGTGATTAATGTTTCTATAATTATTATATATGCACCATTATCTATAAACTGTTTAATAAATAAATAAATACAGTGGGTGATCAGTTAACAAACATAATCAGTTCCAAGACTTTGAAGTTCAAAAAAGTACTTACAAAAATTCAGAGAACAGAAATCAACTAGCCCACAAAAAATTATTTAAATGCAAGGCCCGGATGAAATTCGAAATTTGGTATTAAAACATTAACAAATATCTGATGGGACAGTTAAACTTTCACCTTTCTTAAATAAATTGCAACACAAAATTTAAAAAGTGCCCATCCGTTTAACAGTCTCACGAAGACTATAAAAAATTATTTGTCAGAAAGGTAAACAAAAAGCTGGAATTACAAGGGAGAGTTTCAAAATTCGGAGGAATACTATATGATCAGTATCGGGTTGAGTGTCAATGTTGACATCTCCCGCACTCCGAAAGGTTTTGAATTGTTACCTGAAGACAAGGGAAATCAATGGGTATTCGTTATTTTCCGTCGCTTCTTTTTATGTTTGTTTAGTAAAGTGTTTGTTATCCAAACATGTGTTCGTTGCCCGATCATAAAAATCTTTTGCAGAAGTGTTCGTTATCCGATTTGTTCGTTATCCAAACTGTTCGTTAACCAATCACTCACTGTACTTATTATTTGTAAGTCAGCAGTTTGAAAGAAATCTTTAATAACAGTTGATTATATATAATTTGACAAAAACAACAGATTATTATTATTAAATTAAAAATTTATTGTTTAAAATTGCAAAACTATTATTTTCTTTCATAATTTGCATTTTCTATCATCTGTTTCATATTGTTACAGGTTTGCTGCTGCATTTTTGAATTATAGATAAAACAATAGTGTAACTTCTTTAAAACTTTTTAACAGCTGTTATTAGGAAGACACAACGGGATTTTAACCACGCCATTAAAACTATGAGGATTGAATGGTGTCATCTTCCTGCCGAAACTGGTCCTTCAATATCTAAGCGATTTTCACATAGTGCATGTTGTTGTGGATCTTCTATGTATGTTTTTGGAGGATGTACTACAGCTAATACAACATTTAATGATTTGTGGAGATTAGATCTTGCAACAAGAACCTGGATACGTCCTTTAGCTACTGGTGTGTTTATATAAATATATGTAAAATTTTATTATACTAAACATTTTAAAATTTATGTATATTACAATAAATAAGGAATGAAAATTCTTGAGATATAAAATATTAAGAAAAGCATTTTTAAAAATAGTTGTTTTTATTGCTTACATTTTACATAGTAGAAGTATTGAAATTATTAATTCATATGCTTTTATGTCCTTATTTTATACAGTTTATTATATAAATGTCTACTATAACAGATCGTATTAATAGGACCTATTGTACTGGTGTTCAGTTTCTGCAACTGAGGAAAACTTATTTAGAGAAAACAAACAATCTTTATTTTCACCTGGTATTTTACTTGTACTTTATTGGTGTTTTGGACCTTCAGATCCCTCTTCAGCAAGTTTACAAAAACACGGTGCTAAAAACAAAATTTCTAAAAATTTGCAACAACACAATATATTAAGAGTACCCGACAATAATATATAGATTTTATCATGACTTACAATTTCTCTTTTGTTAATTACTCTTTGATATGTAAATAAATACACAGAAGAATTCCTATCATAATACCACAATAACATTAGATTTTTTTTCCCTATGTTGAAAAAATTTATTATTGCAGATAATTTAAATATAGAATAGCAGCCATGGAAGTTGTATCACTTACAAAATCCTAGAAAAATGTTTATTTTTTAAATTAAAGTATCATTTTGTTTCAGACCTTCAACAAACTAAACTTGCATCATCCATGATACCACGAACATGACAATGCTCTTCATAGCTTCAAGAATATCAAATTTTTCTTTCCAAAACATTTTTAATGTCACTGTTGAGAAGAACTGGCATGCTTCAAACCACCGAGGAAACTGTGTGAATGTACAATTTCTTGAAACCTGCAATAATTTCTTGATCCATTGGCTGAATCAACGAAGTGGTATTTGGAGGCAGAAACTGAACTGTCAGCCAGGGAAAGTTTTCCAGCAAATTATGTACAAGGTCTTTCGGGTGTTCTGGTGCATTTTCCAATAGCAATAGTGTTTTCAATGGAAATTCATTGATCTGAAAGTAATCCTTGATGCTTGGAGCACAAACTTTAAACAACCATTCTTTAAAAAGAGCCTGTGTGACCCATGCCCTTTTATTCAAGCCTTATATCTCCACATCACTAGCAGTCTTTCTTTAATTATGGAATTTTTTTTGAATGCCCTAGGGTTCTCAGAGCGATAGACAAGAAGTGGAATAAGCTTCAAATTACCACTAGCATTTGCTTCCAAAAGTAATGTCAATCACTCTTTCATGGGTTTATGCCCAGGAATATTTTTCTCGTCTTTCTTGATGCAGGTATGGTTTGGCATGTGCTTCCAAAATAAAAAAAGTTTCATCATAATTGAAAATTTGTTGTGGATAATATCCTTCTTTTTTAATGAATTTTTGAAATTTGAGACAACTTCTCATCTTCTTNCTTTTTTAATGAATTTTTGAAATTTGAGACAGAACTTTTCAGCTTCTTTTTTATCTGCACTAATAGATTCACTGTGTATTACCATACATTTAATGCCAGATCTCTTTCTAAACTTTGCAAACCATCCAGTGGTAGCCTTGAATTCTGTCTTGTGACAAATGTGGAGTTTGTTTATTCAGTTCTTCAAAAATTTCTCTAGCTTTCTCTTGAATGATAGTCATACTAGTTACATCTCTTTTCATTTCTCTTTCTTTTATCCAAATTAAAAGCAATCTCTCCATTTTTTCATGGATGGCACATCTTTGTTTCTTAGATGTGACTTTTATTACTCCTTTAGCTGCTTGATTCTTCTTGATGATATCTTTCTTAGCTAAGATTGTGCCTACTGTAGAGCTGTTCAAGCCATACTGCCTAGCAACATCAGACATCTTCTGCCCACTCTACCTTGGCTATTATTATCTCTTGTTTGGTTTCTATGGTGAGCACAGTTCTTGATACTCCATTCTTTTTAGGCTTCATAATACTATCATTATTATTATCCATACTATTATAAGATCAGTCAGTATTCATTATTTTACGTCTCTTCTTCTTGTATTTGTTCTGTGAGGTGTTTATTGTCTGAACATAAAAATCTTTTGTGAAAGTGTTTGTTGTCTGATTTGTTTGCAGTCTGAACTGTTTGTTAACCGATCATCCATTGCATATGAACTTCTGATGCAAAGCGAAAGTCACACTATTTCAATTCAAAAATTCTCCCTGAAAGGTGTTAGGTAGATGACTGGCACGATTTTATTGTTAACAGGAAAAGTATAATGTACAGGGGCAAGCCACTACTAATATGAGGTGGATAGCATATATTTTAAATTAAATAAATTAAAAATTGCAACCTGGCATTATGACAATGTGACAATAAATAAATATAAATTAAAAATAAGCAATTGTTTTATTTCTTCTGTCTTTATATTATTTAAAATTGAATGCTTTTAATATACCATAATTTTCTTTAGGTACATATCCCCCTCCAAAAGCTTGTGCAACCTTAGTTTGTCATGAAGATAATTTAATTCTGTTCGGAGGATGGACTCATACATCTCCCTATCCATTACATCAGGTAATGAAAATAATTCAATAATAATTAGATACAACAGTTTATAACTGAAAGTTTATTAGAGTGTATTTTAGAGTTTGTCATTTAGGAGATTTCAACAGAAAATTTTACACTTAGATTTAATTAAATCATTATATTCACAATCAAGTAGTACTTTAATATTTTTTAAAGAAGATTTATAAAATAACTTCTAAATCTTAAGATATATATAAATTATAAGTAGGGAATTCGATCCCGGTCCTTATTTCTAATCCCGGGATTTCGGGATTATACTTAGTCGATCCCGGGATTATTTCGGTATTGAGGGTTAATAAAAACTAAGAAAATCTTACAGAAATCAACAAATCAAAATTTAGACAAAAATCAACATATTTTACAGTATACACCTAGCTAATTTAATCACTCTAACTAATCAGACTCAGAGTCAGACTAACCAGACTTAAAATCACTCAGTCTTCATGTTAAATTTATTCTTTTTTAAGCATCACTGAGATCTCTTTAAACTCACATAAATTGAAAAAACCTTTATGTAACAAACTATGCAAATAAACGTTGAAAATTAACAAAAATCTCTCTTAACATCGACTAAATAGACTACTTTCATATAACAACCTAGTAAGTAGGTAGTAAAGTAAGTTTCTTAGCAAAAAGTATTTAAAAATAATATTAATCAGTCACATTTTTCTTAAATATAAAGAAAACTAATCTAATAGGAACATTCTAATTTGAATTGCGAAAATATGATCTGAGAAATAACAACGCATCCTGTGTCTCATCACCAAGTCTGCTTCTCAATTTGTTGCACATATATGCAGCTGCTGAGAAAACGCGTTTAGGTTTGATGGAAGTTGGAGGAATCGTTAGTAAATACTTATAAGCCCGTTCTAGTTATAGCTTCGAGGACACGGGGAGGTTGGAAGAAAACAGTCCGGTCGACACAGATCGGGATTGTAGGAGTAAAGGCTACAATCCCGATTGTTTCGATCATTGTAAGCATGCCTTTCTAAAAATAAACACGTTAATTTTGTAAATTCGGTCTCTGTGTGAGTCTCTCAGCATCCAGCAAACCACTACTCCCAAACGTAAAAAGACTTTCTCGCATCATCCTGACAGATCACGGGCAAGGCGGGGGTCGTAACCTTTTCACCTAAGGTCGACCCCCCTAAGCGAGAGGCGTCGGGTCTATATTAACCACACTGGCAAAACAAGATGGCTGACACATTGACAGGTAAAACGCACTGAGTAGTGCTCTCGACTGCGCCAGAAAATCGATTGGCGCCCGCGAAAATTCAAAAATACAAAAATGAAGTATATTACCAAGTAACCCAGTGAGAACTGCTTGCCTATCATTTTAGTTCAAAATACAAGAAGTTTTATTCCAAGCAAGCATCGCAAGCCCGCTAGGTTAATTTCTGCTGCTTGCTTGGAATAAAATTTCTCATATTTTATATAAAAATGATAGGCAAGCAATTCTGTAAAAGCACTGGCACTGAACGTTTCGCTTCATGCAGTCTATTTTGCAACTTTTTTAAAATGATGTCAATCCCGAGAATCTTGGGATTAGGAAAACTTAATCCCGAAAATTTTGGGACTAAAAAGTAGTCGGGATCCCAGGATCCCGATTTTCGATATCCCGGGATCAAATCCTCTAATTATAAGGCACTAACATTGATTAAATACTCTCTTTTATAATTACAAATAGTTATAATTGTTACATTTTATCTAGGTGAAATGAAATTAACCTTTGTTGTACAGTACAATTTGAAATTTATATTTTTTAATATGTATTAAACATTTTAAATTTATCTCTGAATAAACAAACACTGTCTTTTCATTCTCATGCATGTAGCATGAATTAACTATTTCTATGTATATAAACATCACTAAGCTTGATGTATTAATAATAAATCAAACAATCACTGTAATTAATTGGACTATTTGTATTTAAATATAAAAATTTTACATTAATTCAGAAGGAATTAAAATTATTACAATAAAACTAAATTAGTGCTATGAGATAAATGATTAAAGTTTTTAGAATTAAAAGGCTAAATGTTTCCTTTTTTTCTTTTTTAACAAATTTTCTGTAAATATTAGGTATGAGATTATTTTAATTATGTCTATATGAATGGTTTTTTTGCAGGCATGGAGAATATTCAATCATTTGCACATATACAATATCACTACAAATCGCTGGACACAAGTTGTCACTGTTTGTCCAGGTATGGCTGGACATTCTGCAACAATACAAGGAGATTCAATGGTTGTATTTGGTGGTTTTCATTGTGAAAGAGGTGGTGGTCCTTTTTCTAGGTAATTATTTAAAAGTTACATTTATAACTTATAGTAAATAAAAATTTAAAGATTTTTAAATTTTTAAGCTCCAATGAAATTTGGGTATTAGATTTAAAGACATTGACATGGACAAAACATCCAACCACATTTCCTCAACCTCTTCCACGCTATGGGCATTCACAGGTTAAAGAATTAATTGTATTATTTAATAGATTATATTATATAAAAATATAAAAATAATTTTAATTATAATTCTATTTATGTAGATAAATATTGATGAAAAACATATTTTGATTGTTGGCGGTTGTGGAGGACCAAACATGGTATGAATATTTTAATATAAAAATTAAAAAGAAAAGTTGTTTTCAGTATATATTAATAAAACATGTATTGCGCACACAGAAAGTAAGTTATTAATATTTAACAAAAATTTGCCATTTACATTTTATTTACATAATAAAATTAACATAAAATTAAAAATGATTTCTATTCATATAGTTTAAAGTTATACAATGTCAAAATTTAAATTTAAATATTGACATAATACAATTTAATAGATATGCCTACACAGTATTTTAAATGTGTTCTTATTCATTAGTTATTGTATTGGAGTTGAAAATATGGTACAATTTTCAGTCTAGTTACTACTACACAGTTTATTGGGCTGCAATTGAAAAAATTGTAGATTTTTAAATTTCCACTGTCTGTCCCCTGTCTGTCCTTTCCTTAATCTCAAGAACAGAGTTAGATAGATGAAAGACAAGACCAGACATGGAAACCTTAGTAGCAGGATGCCCTGATTACCTATATACAAACTTCGAATGCAAACTGGAAGCCATGTTATTTCAATTCAGAAATTTTCACCTGAAAATTGTTAGATGACTGGCATGACTGTTGTTTAAGGAAACATATGATGTACAGGTGCAAGTAATTTGAGGTAGAAAGCATATATTTTAAATTAAATAAAAATTTTAGCCTGGCATTGGGACAATGTCACAATAAATAATTTGCTCATTATTATTATTATTATATATTTCAGATGTGTCTTCTCAGAATGAATTTCTTTTATTTCTGAAGAAATTGATTATTATTATTATTGTAAAAGTAGGGTACTTTCTGGTTAGTGGGATGCCATTGAAATTTCTACTATTTTTTGTAATAATAAACTTTTATTTTGCAATTTTTAAATAAATCTAATTAGAAAAATAAATTAAATAAATACAAAGAATTTTTTTTACTTAGAACAGAATAACAAAACTTCACTTTTTTTGTAACTTTTGGCGTATCATTTAGAGTTCATCTTTACCTACGTGCAACGTCATGGTGGTGGGACACACGTTCTCACCTAACCCAATCTATTGTAATAAATTACCAAAATTACTAATGTAAGAAAGATGTAAAATAACAAAAAAATTAATCATATGAAGAAAGAATTTTGTTAATTTATTAGAATAGGTTAGGTTAGGTTAGAACATGCATCTGTTGATGGTGTCCTGCTAACCAGAAAGTACCAAAAATAGTCTAAAAACAACATAAAATTGATCTTTTTAATCTCGTTTACAATTTCAGTTATTATTATTTTTTAATTATCTGCTGACAAGGTGTTAGTTTTTCTGTTGAGCATAAAACATCTTACAGGATATAATGGTTTTAGAAGTTAAGCATATTGTCATTATTTTGAACATAATTTCATTTTTTATATTTATAAATAAGTTTTATGCAAAAAGTGACATTTATGTAATTAATCTCAAATTTTTTGAATTTCAAAAATCAAAATATAATTAGTAATTAAATGATACAGTCCTTCCAATAATAATAGAACATACAGTGATTGACTAGAAACTCTTTATTATTTCATATAACTTTGATGAAGTTTTCTACTACATTTGATAGTAAAGTATCAACAATTATTGCATAAGTTTGGAGAAAAATGATTAATAAAGAAAAGAGTTAGATATTATTATCAAAAATAGGATATCCAACATTAATAGAACATGTACTGATTAGAATTAATTACAAAGAAAGTAATGATTGGAATCCATGAAATTTGCAAAAGATATGATCAACAAGTGGAAAGAAAGATTTAGTAAATTGTATAATATCTTACTATAAAAATGAGAGACAGGAAGGACTTAACTATAAAGGAGATGATCAAAATTGATGTATTTCACCAGGAAGGGAGTAAAGTAACTTGGGTTGGTAAAAATTTGGAAAGACCTCATGCAACAATATCAAAGTATCTCAATAATAAGGAGCAATGAACAGGAAAATGAAACAGTGGGTGCAAGAGTTCAACAACACATAGAGAACAATGTGCAATTGTTCGACATGCACTGCAAAGAAACACACCTGTTAAAAAAAATCAAATGAATTGAAGCTGGGTTGCAGTAAAACAACAATAAACAATATTTTGAGATCAACAGGCAATGTTTCTTTCATCAAAATGAAGAGAGTCAACCAGGTCAAGGAGAAACACAAACAACTTTGATTACGGTTTGCCAGAAACAATTTTGAAAGGAGGGAAGAATGGCGAAAAGTAATTTTCTTGGATGAGAAAAAGTGGAATCTCAACAGACCCGATCATTTTAAGTATTATTTGGCAGACAAAAGACTAGATCAAAAGCAGTACTCAAAGAGAGTAGCTGGTGGTGGTACATTCATAACCTGGGCAAGGATTGGATATGGAGTGGAAAGACAGATCTAAAATTTATTGAAGGTTAAAATATCTCTCAAACTTATCAGGAGCTTGTCTGAAGGCAGCTCCAAACTTATGGATAGAAAATTGCTGGACATATCTTTAAATTCCTGCAGGATAATGCAAGCTTCCATGTATCAAAATCAACATTATCCTTTTTTCAGAGAAAGAACATCTGACTTTTGGACTGGCCACCCCCTCAATGCAGATTTAAACCCAATTGAAAATCTTTGGGGTGACTTGGTTTTCCAGATGTATAGCAGGGGAAAGCAATACAAGACTGTTATTGAACTAAAGGCTGCTCTCATTGAGGCATGGAAAAATATTCCACAAGAATGACTGAAATCTTTGATTAATTCTATGTCTAATCATACTTTTCAGCTTGTTTCCAAAAATGGTAGCAAAATCAGCTACTAACTTAGATATCATAAGTCATGTTTTATAAATGTTGGACATTCTGATTTGCTAATAGTATCTAGCTATTTTGTTTATTAATCATTTTTATCCAAACTTGTGCAATAATTGTTCATATCTTACTATAAAATGTAGTAGAAAATTTTACTAAAGTTACATCAAAATAATAAAGAGTTTCTAGGCAATCACTGTATATTCTATTATTGTTGGAAGGACTGTATAAGTTGATTCATATTGGACTACAATAAGGCTAAACAGTCAAATAAGATGGTGAACAATTTGAAATAGATGTAGATAGTTAAGTCACAACTTAAACATTTACTTCCAAATTGTTTAAAATATTAATTAATTAATTAGTCTTATTGAAGTTCAATATGAATCTGGCTGTATTGTTGGATTTGTCATGTTTATCAGATTGACTGCATTATAAAGAACAATTATTTAATATTGCAACAATTTCAAATTTATCTAATAAATACCTATCTTGATGTCTTTTTTTTTTTTAGCTAATGCAAATTTGTTACTATTACATTTGTGAATTAATTTTGAGGATTTTTTTTAAGCTAAACAACATATTTATTACAAAAAAATAAAACAACTTAACTAGTCAAATATTTTTCTTTTTTTTCTATAACCCTTTCCCATTTTTCTGGTAAGAGATGAATACCACAACAATAAAATGATTCATCTTTAGAAGCAAGCCATGAATTTTTGAATTTTTGAATTTCATCAAAATTGGCAAATTGCTGATCTTCAAGCACATGCTGCATCAAACAGAAAAGGTGATAATCTGATGTATCCAAGTCTGGAGAATACATGGGGTTTGGAAGGACTTCCCATTTGAGCTCTAATGAAGTTTGCTTCACTGCAGAAGCAAAGTGTGGCTGAGCATCATCCAAAAAGATCACTTTGTATTGTTTATTTGCAGCTGATGGGTGTTTCTTTTCCAGTACCTGCTTTAAATTGTACAGCTGTTGTCAACAGTGTTTCCCTGTAATAGTTTCATTTGGTTTTAACACCTCAAAGTATACTATTTCTTTAGACTGCTTTGGTATCAATGTTGACAGTTGGCAGGGTGAAAACTATGATCTTTTGCATTTGGGATTATCTAAATAAATCCATTTTTTATTACCAGTCACAATCTGATACAAAAAATCTTTCTTTTTGTCTGGGAAGTAAGGAGATGCAAATGTTCAATTAGTTTGCAATAATACTTTCAGACAATTCATGTGGCATCCATTTTCCTCCATTCAGAATTTTTTCCATGACATGTAAACATTTGGTGGCTATTGTTTTGTCAATATTCAATGTTTTGGCTAGTTATGATAGGTTTGAGCTGCATCTTCTTCCAATAAAGCTTGCAATTCAGCATCTTCAAACTCTCTTAGTTGTCTTGGGTATTTGTCATTAACATCAAAATCATCACTTTTAAACAATCTAAACCAGGTTTAATTGATGGGGAAGACTCTCTGTAAGTTTTGACAAACTTCTAGTGGTTATCTGCAGCTGTTTTTTTCTTGTGAAAGAAGTAAAGTAACACGTACCAAAAATGCTGTTTTAGAAGCTCCATTTCAATACTTATAAAAAGTGGATTCTTAACTCCTCTACTGCTTTTAACTTACTGGACATTAAACATAAAAGTGAAAATTTTAAGAAGCAATTAATATAATTCAGATTTGACTGCTAAAATTTACAACTAGAGCCCTCTTTTGAAAACTCTCAAAACTAATTCACATTCCTAATATATATTTGGAATTCTTATAAATCTTTCTAACATAAATGATTCTGAAATTAGGAAAACTCTCATTAAAGCATCCCTTGAATAATTTGAACATTTTGCTCAAAATATGAGAAACTTTGGAGTAAATAAATTGGAAATATAGTAGCCAGCCAAAACGTTAACTACTTCTTGTTCAGAGCTGTTCCTATAGATACTTAGCTTTGCATTCATGTTAAGGTCATCAAACAGGTGTATAAACAGTTGACAGAAGGTTGCACAAGCAGTAGCAGTTATGGTGTGCAAATAGGTAGATCAGCAGATTTAACTGACTTCTACAAAGGCCAAATTTTGATGGCCAGATACCTCTGTTAGCATCTCTAAAAAAGCAAAACTCATGGGTTGTTTGTGCTCATTGGTATAAATATCAAAGCTGTTCCAAACATGGCCAAAGCAGTGAACTGCTGGCAAGGCATAGATTGGCCACACCATATCAATGAAACGGTTGGCATAGGGTGTTGTATCTTGTGTGAGGAAACAGGCTCAAATCTCTCACAGTTTCAATTATTATTGTAGTGTGAGTGTGTCAGAATACACTGGTCATCAAATACTCCTGATTATGGGTCTGTGAAGCCACAGACATTGTTTTGTGCCTCTATTAAGAATGTTCATCACCTATAGTGTTTGCAGTGAGCATGTCAGTATGAAAATTGGACCATTGAGGAATGGAAGAAGGTTGCCTGGTTTGACAAATCACTATTTATAAATCTCTTGACATAAATTTACTTGTGGTTTGAGTTGGAGAAATGGATTCATGATATATCACTTTAATTAATCATGTAATTTGCAGGAAAATGAATTCTCCTGATATTGGAGTTCCAGCTCTCACTGGATACAGGAATCCAGTGGCGTAGTGTGGGTGTCAGCCGCCCAGGGCGGAAGAAAATTTCACCCCCTTATTTAGGTATCTCAATTTAAAAGACTAAAATTCAGTTTTGTCTCAGAATAAGCAATGAAAAACTCCATGCTAGTGTAGCTACCTGTTTAAAATAGCTCTATTGGATATTGGAGGTGTATATGAATACAAATGAATCGTACAAGAAAAAAAAAGTCAGCATGTAGTGCAGGATATCCCAGGATGAAATTACTACTTCACCCAGATGGTGAGCCGATTCCCAGAATGTCCGGATGATAGCATTATCGTAGGCACGATGCTAATATAGAATAGAATGGTTCAAATTTTTACAAGATATTGTTGTTATTTATTGTAAAATTTTGCCGCCCCACTACACTATGTCACTGCAGACTGTTTTGGTAAAAAGAGGATCAACATCCTATTATGTATATTGTCATAATGGTTTATCTGGTTGGTATAAATGCTTCTGATGATCTTTAGGTTAAGTTATTCAAAACACAATTATTTTTAATCACTGATAAAAAAAATATTCTACAGAGTTTACAAATACTGTATACATAAAGATTAAAAAAATTGTTTAATTCCACTTTTTATTACTAACAACTATTACAACAATATAAGAATATAATGAGTATGCATTTTTTATTAGTTTATGGTTAAAATATGAATTATATACTATTTTACAGTTACTGAATGACATATGGCTACTTACTTTAAGTGATGACCCTTTTCAACCTTGGGAATGGAAAGAAATGGAAATTGAACATAAAGAAAATGGAGCACCACATTTATCCTTCCATCCAGCTTGTAAAGTAAATTTATATTTTATATTTCCTTCTGTTATAAAAGATTTATAATTTTTCAAAATATCTTCAATCCTTAATACAGTAATTAATTTTGTAAGTATAGACTTAAATAATTTAAACGTGTATAAGATATATTTTACGTAAAGCAGGTTTATTTTTTCTAAACTCATTTTAATTACTTTCTAATGAAACTGTTAATTAAGGAAGTAATCTAAAAAATAAATTATCTGAGATTCATTCCATGTTAGATGATATAATTGATAATATATCAATTAGTTATGCAGAGGTTGTATAATTATATATGTGTGTATATATATATCTATGTTACTGTGAAAGACCAAAATTAGAGAATGTTGATATTCTCTGGTGGATGTCAACACATACAAAATACGTCTGTGAAAGACCAAATATTTGGTTATATTATTATACATTCGAACAATTGCCGGTGTATATTGACAAGCACAGATAAGCTTTGGTGGAGGTCAAAACGACACCCAAGAAGCCAATGTCGACAGAAAGGCGACAGTCTGTCGCCAAATCCCTTGTTCTGCCATGATTGAAATCATGTGATATCTATTTGTTATACTCTGTAACACTGCTGTTTGTCAGTCTTAAACAAGGTTTGCTGGTGCGTGCAATGTTTTCTTCTGAAAAAGAGGATTAATGCCGATATTTGCTGTAAAACATCTTTTGAAGAAGTGGGGAGATGTCAGAACAACTGTCTTAGAATGGCATCCAAACCAGGTTGAGGTATGTGGAATTGAAGGTGTTAATTAAATTAATAGGCTTAGGGATCTCTACAATTACAATGCTATTAATTACTTCCGAAAGATAGTGAAGAGAAAAAAGCAATCAACATTAGACAGGTTATTTAACCACCCACAAATTTTTATCCAATACCCTAATTTATATTGAATGGATACTGCAGTGAACCAAGAAGTTTTTTTCTGAAAAGTTACATGCATTAATTGCAAGTAAACGAGAAGACAATTGTTTTTATTTTTCTCAAGAAAAGTACTCTAAAATACTTTCTGAAGTGATTTCTGCTAAAACTAAGTGCAGCACACCTTTGGATTACAGATGATTAAAACATTTTGACGTTTTAAAAATTAATGATGAAGAGAAATTAATTGTACCATTAAAACCAGGAGAAATGAATATACAGTATTATGTTACCAATGATAAATTGTTCAGTATACTATCTGAAACTAGTAGCAGAACAGACCATGGAGGAAGAACACGTATGCTTAAAGAATTGCAACATAAATACAAAAATATTACATATGAAATTGTAATGTTGTATTTAAATTTATGTAAACAATGTCAAATGAAACATAGTGCACCTAAAAGAGATATTGTTGTTAAACCAATGGTCAGTTCAGAGTTAAACTTAAGATGTCAAGTTGATCTGATAGACCTGTAGTCACACAAGGATTACGAATATAAGTTCATAATGGTGTATCAAGATCATTTAACGAAATTTGTCCAGCTACTACCTTTGAAAACAAGACAGCTGTTGAAGTAGCATATCACCTTCTTCAAATATTTTTAACATTTGGTGCCCCAGCTATATTGCATTCAGATAATGGTAGGGAATTCTGTAATCAAGTCATATCCGAACTATGCACTATGTGGAAAGATCTTAAGATAGTTCATGGAAAGCCTCATCATAGTCAAACACAAGGCTCAGTTGAAAGGGCCAATCACAATATACAGAATATGTTAACTGCATGGATGAACGATAATGATACAAAGAAATAGTCAGATGGTTTGCCCTTTGTACAATTTGTCAAGAACACTACATATCACAAAGGAATATGCCAAAGTCTTTATGAAGCCATGTTTGGCGTTAAACCAAAAAGAGGCATAGCATCGTCATCTTTGCCTAGTGAACAAATTGCAAATATTGAAACCGAAGAACAGCTCAAAGAAATTGTTAATACTTTTGAAGCAAATTTGAGCAGTGGCTGTAACAAATACTATATTCTAAAGGAAAACATTGAAGAAGAGCTACAACCCACCATGTCTTCATGTCAAGCCCTGACTGAACAACACAAATTTATTTTTATAAAAAGAGCGGCTATGAAAGAGAATCTTCTACTGCAAGTAATGAAAGTGTTACAAACCACAAAAAGAAAATTTCCTCCTGCTCAAATTGGTGATACCATATGAATACAAGTCCCTGATGTCAACTGTGGCCGTACAGATGCCCGAAATGTGTTGGCGGTTGTTGTTGGAATAGAAGACTCCGACTTTTATAAATTAGCAAACAAAAAAGGTACCCTCAAGAGCTTTATACCCACAATCAGTTCGTAATTTGTAAAGAAAAGTTACTTTCCATAGATGAGATTTCTTCTCAAGAAATATCGCTGAGACTAGCAGCTGCAGATAATTCGAAAAGTGGAGGGCAAGGTTATATATGCTGTCATTGCAAAAAGAAGTGTTCTATGAATAAATGCAGTTATAAAAGCAAGTGGCTCTTGTGAAATTCAGTGTCATAACAGTTTAAGTTGTTGCAATAAATAAGATTGTATAACGTTAATCATATAATATGTGTAAGTTTACTATTGCATATTATTTTTCTTTTCTGATTAATAATGTACTGTTCGTTTTAGTTCAACAGTTTATTTACATCTGCTGTTACTTAAGCTTTCTCCTGTTTTGACATATTAAAAAGTTGCATTTTTGTCTTAATGTAATAAAAATATTTTCATTCAACGTTCACCATCAGTGCATGCTGAATGTCGACATTTTCCAGATATCAGTCTTTCACAGTAACATATATACATTTATATAATTATACAAAATTAGTTGTAGAAATATATAAATTTAATAGAATTAAATCTGTTAAAATTTTCAGCAAAATTGTTCTAAATTATTATTAATCTCTGAAAAAAAAAGGTTAGTGATCAAGTTATTGTGCTCAGTAAATCACAAAGATCAGTTACCTCAGCATCAAGTTTACCGCTACTTTTAAGAGCACCTTCCAGAATATGGGTTCCACCAAGAGCAGATATGTGAGTATTATTTGGTTATATTATTATACATTCGAACAATTGCCGGTGTATGTNAGTGTAAGTGGAGTTTTTCTCAGGTGGTAGATTCGACAACAATTAGTGAATGTGATGACATCAACGAATGATGTTTGTTAAAATTTGGATTCTTACGCCACTAATAGGAGAAAAATCTAGAAATTCAAAATTGTTTATCTTGCATAGTCTTGATAGAAAAATTTGTTTATTCAAGCTAAAACCGATATTAACCCTGTCTTTTTAGACAGGGTTAATATCGGTTTTACCTGTCTTAATTTGTTTATTCAAGCTAACCGATATTAACCCTGTCTTTTTAGACAGGGTTCAAGAAGTAATCAGAGTGCTAATGAAGTGGAAAAATGTGTGAATGGCAAAAAAGGAGTATTAAAAAGACATTCAGCTACCGGTTACACTTCAAGTAGTGATGAAGAAGAATATCAATATAGGACTACAGCCAAAAAATTAGCAAATGTTGATGATCCTCAGAACTCTGATAATATAGAAAAAAATAATTTAGTTGATCACTTTCAAAAACCACAATCATCTAGCTCAGCAGGCCCTTCTTATAGAACAGAAAATAAACAACAGTTATCAATTAGAGATGTTTTATCAACACCATCTTCTTCGTCATCATTACCATCGTCGTCGGCATCGTCTAGCAGTCAGGACGGACAATCTTTAACTACTTCAGATAAATCAATGTTATCTATCCGACCAAATTCTCGTCGTAATAGGCAGCGTCAATTAGAAGGTTTAGACAGAATGGAACAGAGGTTACGAGATCTTTGTGCTAAAAATATTCAGAGGTATGTAATAATTTATTTATTTATTTATTTTACATATACAGTGAGTGATTGGTTAACAAACATAATCCATTCCAAGACTTTGTTTGCTATCCGAATTGTTTGTTAACCGATTATTGATTTACCATAGGTTTTTATGGGAATTTGATTAATTGGTTCTGGAGATTCCAAAAAATAAAAAATATATACTTTCTTATTACATTTATTTATATGTAATAATAAAAATACTTACATACACAGTCTTGCATTTTTATTAGTCATGTTTTTTCCATGTGTGGGTGGTTAAAGAACCTGTCTAATTGCTTTTTTCTCTTCACTATCTTTCAGAAGTAATTAATAGCATTGTAATTGTAGAGATCCCTAAGTCTATTAATTTAATTAACACCTTCAATTCCACATACGTCAACCTGGTTTGGATGCCATTCTAAGACCGTTGTTCTGTCATCCCCTCACTTCTTCAAAAGATGTTTTATAGCAGATATTGGCAAACTCCAAATTGATATTAATCCTCTTTTTCAGAAGAAAACATATCTTGCTGTGTTTCTTGGTCTTCTCCATTCAAGAGTTTTTGGTGTTCTTCNATTCGTTCTGGAGACCCCCCAAAATAAAAAATATGTACGTTATTACTACGTTTATTTATATGTAATAATAAAAATACTTACATACACAGTCTTGCATTTTTATTAGTCATGTTTTTTCCATGTGTGGGTGGTTAAAGAACCTGTCTAATTGCTTTTTTCTCTTCACTATCTTTCAGAAGTAATTAATAGCATTGTAATTGTAGAGATCCCTAAGTCTATTAATTTAATTAACACCTTCAATTCCACATACGTCAACCTGGTTTGGATGCCATTCTAAGACCGTTGTTCTGTCATCCCCTCACTTCTTCAAAAGATGTTTTATAGCAGATATTGGCAAACTCCAAATTGACATTAATCCTCTTTTTCAGAAGAAAACATATCTTGCTGTGTTTCTTGGTCTTCTCCATTCAAGAGTTTTTGGTGTTCTTCTGTCGTCAGATCAGTTTCAGGTTCTGTTATGAGCTCTTCAATGTTCTTTATTTCTCAGATGTGACTTTTGTTACTCCTTTAGCTGCTTGAGTCTTCTTAATTATACAGTATCTTTCTTAGATAAGATTGAACTGTGGCCTACTGTAGACCTGTTCAAGCCATACTGCCCAGCAACATCAGACATCTGACCACTCTCTACTTTTGCTATTATACTCTCACCTTTCAAAAATAAAAACCGATGCAAAACTTAACGAGTGCCCGCCTGACAGACTTGCAAATATTATAAACGAATTGTTTCTGTCAAAAAAATAAAAGGCTGGAATTACAAGAGAGAGTTTCAAAGTTCAGATGAATACTATCCGATCATTATATACTGGGTTGAGTGTCGATGTCGACGTCTCCTGCGCTCTGAAAAGTTTTGAATTGTTGCCTGAAGACAAGGGAAGATCAATCGGTATTCATTATTTTACATCACTTCTTCTTATGTTTGTTCTGTGAGGTGTTCATTATCCGAACATTTGCTCGTTGTCTGAACATAAAAATCTTTTGTGAAAGTGTTTGTTATCTGATTTGTTCATTACCAATCACCCACTGTAATTGGAACTGTCAATGGACAAAAGATTTCCACCCCTCAAATAACACAATTTACCAAAAATACAATAAAATAAATAAAATTAACAAAGTAAAATATTTTAAAAAAGAAACTAAGATCATATATTATGTAGAAAATGTTGGCATAAACATTTATATTTTGTAAAATCTTAATGAAGGTGTGTTCAATGGACGACATATCAGTGGAGCAATAAAAAAAAGTATGTATGACTTAAGTAATGCTAATCGATAAAAAGGGTGTGTGTAGACATGATTGTGATCATGGAGGGAACTTTCAACTTGAGTCAGTAATTGTATATTACACCATTAAAATATTTATAGATTCAGTCAAAATACTTAACTCTTTCTTTGAAATTAGGTAGTCCCAGTCTGACTCTTGTGACATCAGCATTATTAGTGTATTGAAGATTGCAAAATTTGTAAAGAAAATCAACTTTAGTACAGTTTTTGAGGATAAGATTTATAAAACTGCCATAAAATTCCTTGGCAAATTGCAATTTTTTCTGTATGACTTTTAAAGGTCAATTTATTGTCAAAGACAGCTCCCAAATCACTATATGAAGTTACATAATTTAAAACATGATTATAAATGTAAAGATGCGGAAGTGGCAGATTTCTAATCAGAGTGAAACACATCACTACAGTTTTATGAGTATTAATTCTTAAATTTACTTTACTAAAAGCTAAAGATAGAATTTCTAGGTTGGTTTGTAAAATGTTAGGATTGTGATTTAAGAGTTTTATATCGTCGGCATAAGCTATTACTTTAGAATTAATATTGTCAAAGGGATTGTTAATTAAATTAAATTAACGTATGCAGAAAAAAATAGTCCGCTCAGAATTGATCCTTGTGGAATGCCACTGTCACTGGAGGGTCGGCACCTCTTTTGCCTTGTCAGGACTGACACCCCCGTGTCGCAATTGACAGGGAAGCCAAGACGGCATGTTGATTCGGTCACGTGAGCAGTTACGTGCTTGGGCAATCAGATTCGGCATGGAGATGGGTGGAGAGACAGCATACCAGAAGTGAATCACTCAGATACCAAGTTAACAACTAATAATGATTTAATTTCAAAGAAAACACAATACAATTTACAATTTTGTTACAATTTCATTAGGCCTTAACTTCAAGGGATCTTTGAATGGAAGCGGTCATGTGAGAGAGTGTTTACATGACGATAAATACCTTGGGTTGATGATGTTTGAAAATAGTCTGATGCTCGTTTTTGGGAGGTGTTCTTGATCATGTAGCAAAGTATCTTAGTCACTGGAGATAGAATTTATCCTCAAAATTCATAACTGTAGACGAGAAAGTATCTATTGAACTGAAGTATCCACAAGAACTAGGTATATCCATTGGCACTAAATAAAGCACTAGGTAAGATGATATTCCATTAAAGGATGGCGATAACTGCCTCTTTGGCCGTCATTTCCGATACCAACCTGATATCGCCTGGCTAAGAGATCAGCAGATCATGGGAATGAGTCGTTTTCACTGTCGAGAAAGTGTAAGTGGAGTTTTTCTCAGGTGGTAGATTCGACAACAATTAGTGAATGTGATGACATCAACGAATGATGTTTGTTAAAATTTGGATTCTTACGCCACTAATAGGAGAAAAATCTAGAAATTCAAAATTGTTTATCTTGCATAGTCTTGATAGAAAAATTTGTTTATTCAAGCTAAAACCGATATTAACCCTGTCTTTTTAGACAGGGTTAATATCGGTTTTACCTGTCTTAANAGCATTCAATTCCATACTACCTAACATATTTCTACATGTTCTGCGTGAATACTTCGATATTAACCCTGTCTTTTTAGACAGGGTTAATATCGAATAATATCGAAGTAAAACCGATCAGGGTCATATCAGGGTTAAAACCGATATTAACCCTGTCTAAAAAGACAGGGTTAATATCGAAGTAAAACCGATCAGGGTCATATCAAAGCTAAAACCGATATTAACCCTGTCTTTTTAGACAGGGTTAATATCGGTTTTAACCCTGATATGACCCTGATATGACCGATATGACCCTGATATGACCGATATTAACCCTGTCTAAAAAGACAGGGTTAATATCGGTTAACCCTGTCTTAATTTGTTTATTCAAGCTAAAACCGATATTAACCCTGTCTAAAAAGACAGGGTTAATATCGGTTTTAGCTTTGATATGACCCTGATCGGTTTTACTTCGATATTAACCCTGTCTTTTTAGACAGGGTTAATATCGGTTTTAACCCTGATATGACCCTGATCGGTTTTACTTCGATATTATTCGATATTAACCCTGTCTAAAAAGACAGGGTTAATATCGAAGTATTCACGCAGAACATGTAGAAATATGTTAGGTAGTATGGAATTGAATGCTTGTGAAATTATATTAGTCTTCAAATTATCTAGAACAGGGGTGGTCAACTTTTGTGTACATAAGTTCTACTTTTTATCTTAAAAATGTGTCACGTTTGACTTGTTGTCATAGGCATAGTCTAAGTGGGGAGTGGAGGTGTGAAATAATACTATGTTTATACACTGTGTTTTGGTACAAGGTGCACTCCTGCGAGCTATGGGTAGATAAGCAAAATTTTTTCTTTTTTAAATCACTTATTAAATTTTCAAGATATAGGCTCATAAAGAAAATTAATTTCCAGATCCAACTTTTGATATTTGCAGCTACACATTCATTCCGTACCTAAAAAATTCAATTTTTTGACACTTTTTCAAGATATATTTTAAGTTAAAAAAATTCAATTTGATTTTTAGTATTAATTGAAATGTGGTACCATTTGTTTGTAAATATGAAAAAGTTGTTATAAAAATGCACAGTATGGCTGATAATTTGATTTTAAGATTTCACTTTCACAATTTTTTTGGGTCAGGAATATTTATCATGGAAGAATGATATAAGATTTTTAGACTTAATTTTTGCTAATCTATCAATAGTTTGCGGGAGTGCACCTCATACTGAAACACCCTGTATATCTACCTACATAAAAAACAACATAATTATTTAATGGATCAAAAAACTCACCTCACAGGGGAATTAAAACAACATGAGTAATTATTAACAATGTTTATTAATTCAAATTAGCTACAGATAAAGACAGATTTAGAATTTATTTTATTACCTTAACATTAATGGGAGGACTGAGTTTGCATGACTCTAACCAAGGAATTATAATTAGGTGTATATCCTCACAATGATGATGATAATGAGTCTTCAGTATGGGAATCAGTCAGGACAGAACGTTGTTTAGTCTTTGTTAACCTTAAGTATGAAAATGCCAATTCACATAGGTAAGTAGATCCAAAACAAGAATAAATATATTTGCTACATTCGTTAATACTGGGATATTTTTCTCAGTTGACGTATTTCCAAAAATCATCTTCAAATTTTCTGGCTTGTAAGATTAAATCCGTTTGTAAAATTATTTCATTTCCTAATGCATTTTGCTCCATATAAAATATGTCTGAAATTTTTTGGCTAATGCATTTCACATTTAAATCTTTTTTAAAAGGAAAAGATATAAATTATGGTAAAAACAAGTAGAATGTTTAATAAAGTTTTTTCTGTTGTAAATAGTTGCACAAGTGTCTAGGCAATAATTTTTACTTAGGATGGAGCACAAATTTATGCACAGTTTAATTTTACATGATATCTGTTGACATGTAGCTTGTACATAAAGCAAAACTAATTACTATGTAGTTTCAAACAGAGTAACAATATTAACAACAACTGATGATTAATTGAGAAAGGAAGCCAATAAATGTGTATTGGTCGTATTTTTAGATAGTTTAAGTTTTTTTTTAATAACAACATTTATTGGCAATTCCAACCAAATTGACCCACTCGAGTGGCAAAAATTTAATTAACATAAAACACAGGTTACTGATATTTCTGATTAATATGTTAGAATGGCCAGAAAAGGTTCCAAAGATTTATTTTTCCATGGCATACAACAATAAACAATTATTCATGCATCATTTTCCCAAGGAAAATAATACTCTCCATCAACAAATGCAAATTATAAAAATTTGTAATGAGAGAAGCTCCAGATTTAGATTTTTATAATACTTTATATTTATAGAAAATGCAATTATGAAAGTCAGGTAGTCATTTATTGCCTTTCCTTTATAATAATAATGTGTGATGATTATATTCTTAAATAATTTTTAAAATTGACTGTCTACAAAGGCATTATTTTTGAAAATGTGTACTTGCTCTAGTGCAAAATATGAATCTGGTCTACAGATTTTTAACATGTGTGTATTTCTGGAATTGTATACATCACATCACACATGTTTTGTTTTCAGAGAAGAGATTATATTTACAAAATACAGTGTAGTATCATTTTTTTTTCCATTCAGTGGCTACAGACAGATTCATTCTATCAGGCTGATGATAATTTCTGGGTAGAACACATCTGGTTAGACAGTGATATTAGGTAATGAGGAAAATTGAAGCTCACTATAGAATGTGTTTGGTGCCTTCTTAAGAAAAATAATTGGATTAACAAATATGTACAATAATAATGAAGTTTTTAATAAATTTAAAATATAATTTTTTAAAAATTGTATTAAATACAATTTCTTTTTTAAATAGGCCACCAGAAGCTGTGTTTAGTAGGCAAAAACCAAAGAAACTGATATCGCCAACTAATGCAAGAAATCCCATGTGCATATACGTTCTAGACATAAGTAATGCTTGTACCAAACACAAAGTTCGTTGGCAACCGCTTCAGTGCATCACTAGTTACGGACCAGAAGAAATAATTCTCTACTCGCTAGTTCTCGGACGAGGAGAAATAATAATGTTCGGAGGTATACAGAAATATTTGAATTCACGCCAGCAGGAAGGAGAATGCGTACCGGAAGTAGTGTCCAATGCAATATATTTTTTATCTGCAACCAAATCTATTATTTAAATACAGAAAATGGCCGTATTTTGTGACATAATTCACAATTATTAAGTGGTCATGATTTCGATATTTATATAACTGTTTGGAAGTTATAAGTTTATTATATTTAAATACAGACATTTTAGCATAAATTCTGAAGTTTCATCAACCGGCATTAATGAAATTTCTATATAAAAAATTGTTTTTTTTTTTATATATTATAATATTAAAATATTAAGTTTATCATATTTTCAATTATAGATTTATAATAAATAAAATAAAATAATTTACATATAATTGATATTGTTTCTCACAAAATTGTCAACAATGATGGAAAAACAGATAGTCTAGAGAAATAAAGTTGGTAAGTGCGCGTTGTAGCTTTAATTTCTTCCTGGAAACTCTGTCACAAACAAAAAGTTGTTAAACAAATAAGTGAATTTCATTAACTTCAATGGGAAAAATCGTAATGCATTCCATCTCAGGCATGATATCTATCAATTGACAACAATGAAAACTAGTAATAAAAACAAACAATCTGAAACTTACATCTACATAAATTTCAGATTGTTTTTTATTACTAGTTTTCATTGTTTTTATTACTAATACAACATAATACAATTTGAACAGAAGATGTAATTATAATAAAGGGATTTTTTTATACTCTCCAAAAGAAGACAAGAAGATAAGATTTATTGATTCAATGGGTCACAGTTGATGATAAAGAATGAGGAAGCCATTTGTTTTCTACAATGTGGTGCAAGTCATGGAATCGGAAGGTAGATTGATTTATCTAAATTGGATTTGCTCAATGATAATTTACTTTTTCTTGGTATTTTCATACACAAAATTCTTGATATGAAAATGTGATACATCTCCAGATTAAGGAAATTCAAGATGAAACTTTGCTTTCTTGTATTTACGTTAATCATGCATTTTATTATTTTTAACTCTTCCCCTATGTGCAATAAGAAATATTGTCTTTTCTTACATCAGAGAACCTATTTGTGTTAAAGTTCACCTAATGTGAATTGTGGGATTCTAAAAATTCATAAGATGATCTCTGTCACCTTTCTGGAAGCAGCTTCTCTTACAAGAATCAAAATCTGTGCTTTTCCATTTGTCATGGACAATTCAAGAGTTTTTTGCATACAGATTCAATTGTTTATGGAGTGACTCTCTCTTCAATTTTTTGTCAATTGTTGTAACTTTTCTCATTTTCTTCCCTATTTTATAATTTATTTTGAGATTGTCATTATAACACTCAAAATTCACTTTATTTTCCTATAAGGGAATTTTTAAAGACTAAATACAACATTTTAAAAGGGGTTGACGGTGCCGCGTGCAAGCCCAAAGTTTACTTGCAAAGAACTTTAAGCTTGTTTCCGTAGCAGAGAATCAAATTGGATGGCAGGGGCGCACAAAACCACTTGCCACGTGACCCAAATTTGACTGCCAGTCACACAACTATCTCAGCGCGTTGCATTTCTAATGTGCTTCTCCTCGACTTATTCTTCCTGCCAAAGAATAATTCCTTTTGTGCAGTAATTTTGAACACTACCGTCATAAAATGGCAATGTCAGATTTCCTTTTCCAGCCACGAACAGTTCTAGTATGACAATTGTTTCATTAGTCACGTTTCCCGCAATATCATATTATACAAAAAACCAACCGACTTAAATAAATAATCCTTGTCGAATCTTTTCAGAATTAACCCTGCAAAAAATAAATAAAAACAAATAATTGAATCACTAAAATTCTGCTTAAATCCTTATAATGCCTGAACAAATAATTTGTAAATTTAGATAACAAATTTGTAATTAAGTACTTTCATATATATAACTTTCAACTATTGCTTATAAGATGTGTGACCAATACCACACAAACACTTCCTATTGTATTAAATAAAACATTTTATTTGTGAACAGATGCAACATGTTAGAGCAGTGATGGACCAGTTTAAATTCCGGTACCTAGTAGATTAACACTTTTGTGAGTTAAATAAAAGTAATTATAAAATGGAACATATTGGACACAAGAAATGCCAAGAACTAAGGTTGCATAATACTTGGCAGCATCCGGCAACAGCTGGTTGATGGAATCTTTGTACGTGCTTCCGACTCGTGAGCAACTTCTCTCCAAAGTGGACATGTCGTTTACAAAATGGAGATGAGACAACTTCGTCAAAAGCTTATGGCAGAAGAGTTTTCTACATTTATTACCAAAACATATTATAAATATCACATCTTATAAAAACATCGCAAGTTTGATGTATTTCATCATTTGTATTGTGAAATAAAATTTCACAATACAAATGATGATCATAAAAGACAATCTGGATTTCTTTCTTTGGAAGCAGTAATCAAACTTGCTTGGTAGCAACTACTTCCTTTAAGCGTGAATAGAAGCATTGTTTGGTGGTTGCTACAAGCTAAATGCAATTACTCAACACACATTCACTTGTATCAGTGTCTGCTCTGCTTGGAAATTCAGTCACAGATGCTGCCACGTAGGATGTACAGTATCCCAATGTGTTAGAGCATGTACAGTAGTCTTACAAAAGTATAGGAACACCATAAATGTTGTTTTTTCTAAATATTATTTTTTTATCATTATCAAGTTTTTTACATTTCATAAAGCAGAATAAATTTCTTTTCACAAATATTCATTTTTTTGATGTGTTACAAGAGTATAGGTACACCACTTAAATCTCTTAAAAATTAATTTATCACAATAATAATAATTAAAATTATCACCACTAGGGTGAGATGTCATTGGTTTTAACTGTCATGATGGTTTTTTTGAATATTATATAAACATTTTCAACAATGCCTTGTGGAACTGTACTTCAGGAGCAAGAAATACATAAAATTTGTTATTTGAGTGGTTCAGGCAAATTGCTGCAGCTGTAAATAGATCTACAAATGCTATTTGAAATGTTTTGCAACAAGGTGAAAATTATGGGCAAAAAAGGAAGTCAGGACAACCTAAATGTTTAATATCCAGAAATGAGAAAAGTTTTGAAGCTTATAACTAATAAAAACATGCCAACAAGGCAAGCTGCTGCTGAAATACCATTAGATTTATCTCATGCGACTGTTTGGAGAACTTTAAAAAATGACAATGTAAAACATTTAAAAGTGAACTTTAAACCACCTTTAACTGCCAAACACAAATCAATGTGTTTAAACTGGGCTAAAGAGAAGACAGACTGAAGAATGGTAATAATGTTAGTGATGAGAATACGTTTAATTTAGATGGCCCTAATGTGTTTTCATATTATTGGCATGATTTAAGACCAGAAAGCAGAGTTAAAATGAGCAACCAACAAGGGGTGGGTCTGTAATGATTTGGGGTGGTATGTAAAACTAATTTAATGTTTGTTGATAAAAATATAAAGTCAGAAAAGTATCAAGAATTATTGTATAGTAATATGATTACATTTGGTGCATTAATTAGAAGTCGTAAATGGAAGTTTCAAGATAATGCTCCCATTCATCCTTCAATGTCAACAAAAAATTGGTTTAAAAAAAATATTGACTGGCCTTCACGTAATCCAGAGGGGGGTGAAACCATATATTACAAACGTTTAAAATATATTTTTATGTAATTTTACAAAGTGTACCTATACTTCTGTAGATGAAGTGTTAACACTCCATCCCCACTTAATTGTATATTACTCAAAGATAAACTTTTCTACTTTCATAATATGAAAGTGCCAAATATCAGAGAAATTCACTTATAAGATTCATAAAGCACAAGATGTTCATTTTGCTCACTCTGAACGTCAACAGGTACAACAGATTATGTCCCACAACCTCTGTGTAATGATATAATGTTACACAGAGAGTGTAACATTATATCATTATACAATGATTCAAAATTTCAATTAAAAAAAATTAAATAATATACAAAATACCCTTATTAAATAATATAAGACTAATGAATTTTGATCTTCTATACTTTAAAATGTATACAATATTAAAAATTTAATAATATTGTATTTCCTATTCTAGGTATTTCCTGTATTTTAAAAAATAATTTTCTATAAAGGTATAAGGCTGCTATACCCATTTGAGTAAATATTTAAGATTTTACTATTTTAGGGCTTATTTGAACATGTTTAACGACAATCTGTCTTTCATTCCAACTTAATTTTGCGAACGAGTCAGAAAAAATCTGGAAAGTTGTGTAACTTTCCTGGCAAAACAATTTAAAATTGTGCAACACACCATCTGTTAATTCAATTTTTTAATAAAGTAAATTATCAAGTTATAAAATGGCAAAAAGCTTAATGTTCAGGGTATAGACGAATTTTTATAATAATAATAATAATAATAAAACTAAATGCTAATGAGTAAAATCATCATTAAGTTCAATCCTAATGAAGATATGAAATATGACACATTAATCTCTCTATCTTTAACCATCAAAATTTAGCAGTATCATTGTCCCCAATATGCAAACCACCCTGCAAAATTTCAGAAATTTTTGACTAAAAGCACAGGAGTTATTAAGCTTAAAAGTGAGTGAACAAAACCTTTCACCAACTTTGAACTTGGTGTTATGAGGTGTTAAAGAAACCCCCACTTTAAAATTTGGACAAAAAAGGAAAATCATTGAAATGTGATTAGCTGGGTTAAATCAAGGTAGTACTTTTATTATGACACTAGCAGGCCCTGCCATGCATTGTTGTGGCTCAAAATGTATCTATTATAAATGTATAACACTTCCCCCGTGTGGGGGGAATTTTTCGAAAAATTTCTTCTTAGTGTACATTCTCTTGACGTACCCTATTAAAACGCAAAAACCCGCATCTAAAATAGTATAATAGAAGCCAAGTTCTTCACATTAAGCCTTAATCCTGTCTCTCCCCCGCGGGGGGAATATCGAAAATTCCCTTCTTAGTGTACATTCTGTTGACGTACCCTATTAAAATGCAATAAAAAACGCAAAAAACCGCATCTAAAATAGTATAAATAGAAGCAGAGTTCTTTACAGTAAGCCTTAATCCTAACCATTTCCCCCCAGTGAGGGAATTTTGACACGTATATTATATAAAAACACGCGAGTATTCGAATGCAGTGTTGTGTCAAAATTTCAAAGGAATCAGTAAGAACAAACAAACATTACATTTTTATTTATATAGATAGATAGATGATGATCTGCTTTAGTTCATTTTCACAGAAAAGCGTAATGCCTCACAGGCAAGCAAACTTAGGGCGTCGTACTCGTAGCGCCATCTGTTGGACATAAAAGCCTTAACCTAGATTATATATTTTAATTTATATGAATGTTTAACGGAATAATATACAGCCTATGTCCACCCTGAGGTTCCGTTTTAAATATTGGTGAAAGAATTTTTGAAAACGGATGAGTAGTTTCGGAGATTACCTGCTGCATACAAACATTACCTCTTTATAATATTAGTATAGATTGGCCAGAAAATTTTTATTACAGCCCGATTTGTCCAAATTGGTCCTAGTGGCCTCTGACCCACTCTGCTGTTTGTCATGGTTAATCTTGATCTTAACAATATAAAACTTGAGTAGTGATAACATTTAATTACTATATGCAAGATTTACTTTTTCATATTAATGGTAATAAAGATAAAAAATCAATAGTAAAAACTAATACATTTATTGTAAAGATGAGACAAATTGCACATTAATTAAAATTACAGTACAAGACACACATAATGAAAGATGTATTTACAATGTACAAAAACAGTGATGTTGGTACTAAGTGTTATCCTTTATTCTTCTTCTTCGATTTTTTGTGATGTTTGGATTTCTTTTTCTTCTTTTTATTTTTTGGTTTGGACGATTTGTTTTTTAATTTTTTTCTGGACTCCTCTTCTGATGATTCTAATCAAAATGTAATTTTAAAATATTTTATTCAGGATTTCTTCAGTAAATCGGATCCTTTTTTAGAATTTAGAAAACAGGGAATTGATGGTACTTGGAATGTAATACATCGGACAGAAGTAAGTTTTTAAAAATAATGTTATTGTATACTGGAATGTCAAGATGTATGAAAATAAACAGTGATCTGTGATTCAGCAATTCAGATTATTCTAAATTAATCTAATATACAGGGTGGGCCATCGAAAACGAAACGGCAGAGTTATCGCGTTTGTCCAAGCAAATCGCTCGGACAGATCGATTTTATTCTCAAGGGGGACATCTTCTGCAATAAAGTTTTTGCAATTTTGAATACAACAGACAACAAAAAATTTTAAAAACTCATTCATTTTTTTATTAACTAAACAAACACTTATTTCGGAAAAAAGTAACACAAACTATTAACAAACATAAAAAAACTTTTTAAGCTGGACTGCATATGCACAGAAAAAAATATTCTCCCTTGAGAATAAAAGCGATCTGTCCGAGCNTTAAATACAAATAATTTGATTTTTTACATTTTCAAAATAAAAGATTATAAAATATATCAACTTGAGAAGTTTAAGTATTATTACAATTAAGTTTCTTATTAGCATTACCTACATATGTGTTTTTATTTGAAAATTTATGTAACTGTCAACTAAAAACAAGGAAGAGTTAAACCATAAATGTAATTTGATTGTAATTTTAAATTGTAAAATGATTGTAATTTTAAAAAATTAGAGGGCTTTTAGAAAAGAGGAACAGAACTTAATCTAAAAAATTTAGGTAGTTAGACGTATTGTAGTTATCAGAAAAATACAATAATTGAAACTTACCACTTTCGGCACTCTCACTTTCACTACTTTCCTCTTCTGAGCTAGAAGAATCTTCATCTGTACTTGGTTTTGTCACTTGTGGCACGGCCTGTGATGGTTTAGGTACATTTTTTAAATGCTCTCTTAATTCATCTCTGAAAATAAAACAAAACAATTTGTTTAAAAGTAATCTTGATAATATATAACAAAATAATAACTGATAAAAATAGTTGCTACAAATTCACAATAATAAACAAACCAATCCATGAATTTAAAATCTTATTTCTGATTAGACTTTTTTAAAAGTTCATACAGCTAAGTTTTCATTTATAAACAATGATTCAATTTCAGAGTAAAATTTATAACAATGATAACCAGGACAAAGTCTCAGACAAAAGTTTTGAAATAGTCAATATATCTAAATTATTTTGAAAGTATCTTGAGATTGATACTTATTTCATGCAAAGTAAAAGATACTATTGACAAGGTAATCAGATTTATAACAACCTTCATCAAAAAACAAATGAATAACACATCAATAGCATATATGTGTTTTTCAATGTGTGTTGTACTGTGTGGTATGAAGGATACGTGTGTTGTGTGTATATATATATATATATGCACACAACACACGTATCCTTCATACAACACAGTTTGAAACTGGAGATATCCCCGTACAACATGACTCGATTTTGCTCTAACACTGTTTTGGAAATCCTCTGTACAAAATTTCACAATTTTTAAGTGTAAACTTTGATATTTGATATATTTTTTTTTATTCAAGTAAGCACATGTGTTGTTTTGACTTCTATTGAATATTTTGAGTGAAAAATTTTGAGAAAGTTTGCAAAAATGGTCTTAAGAACAATGCAAAATTCAAAAAAACACAAATGGGTGCACAAATTTTAAGCAGTTTCTAATTCACTTGTATCTTGATTGTTAAAACTTCCTTTATCAGTATTTATATTTTGGCAATATATTATAAAAATGTTCTTTTAGGGATTACATTTTCAACTAAAACACTACAGATTCTGATGTCAACTGTGCACAACTGATTGGATATGATGACAAACTTTAATCTTGCAAATTCTTCTTGTAGAGTACATAGACCTCAGAAGTGTGAGAATTTAAAATACAAATACAAATCAGTCAAATATTAATCAATATTCAACTCAAACTATGAATTTTTCATAAACTGTTATGTAATGAACAGGTGCCGATATGAATAAGTTTACACTTTGATATTCAGATTTTTAAAGATTGTTTCATTAACATTAGGAGTATCCAGTGATATTTATGACAGCTTGCAATACACATCACAAAACAGAACTCTGTCATAACTCAGGAATTACCTATACTTAATTAAATTAGTACAGGTAACCCCCATATAACACGGCACTTCTATAGCACGGATTCACTCTAACACGGTTCAAGAATTGGGTAAAACCCTCGTACAACATGAAATGTAATAGAGGGTGTGTTGTTTTATACCTCTGCGTAACTCTGCGCGAGCATTCTAATTGTTTTTGTGGCTACTTTGAATGCTCTTTCAACAAATAATCCATTTAATGGTCAAATTTTACAATTGGGACCCTTATTTTCCCTCTAAAAGCTCATTTTAGAATTATAGATTCCTCCATCATGATACTATCAATAGTGCGGGTGCTGCCATCTTTCTTTCACCGTCGTTCCTAAATGCCTACAAACAGCAGCACACTCCCGGTTGCAGAGCAACCGCTATTAACGAACGCATCCAAAAACTGTTACCAGTTGATGATGCTCATGCTGAGATCATCATNTAAAAGAAAAATTAAAATAATTTCAATGTTATATTATTTTTTAAATTACCACTCACTTTAACAAATATTAAAATTTAATTTACTTAAAAATATTATCATTCACTTCAAAAACTCTAACTTATCTGAAAAAATTACTTAACATATATTAAAATTTATATGAAACAATTTTAAAAAATAAATTAATTTTGTGATTAGTACGTGTCAAACTAATTTTGTGATTAGTACGTGTCATATGTATACTACTCACATCCCAAAACAGAACTTCGTTGTAACTCAGGAATTACCTATACTTAATTAAATTAGTACTATATATATGGCAATCAGATATTTATATTAGTAGACAAAATACACAATTAGAGCATAAAGCTGTGTTGACTAACACAAACACTAAATTATTATATTTGTATTTATTGTAACTAAGAACTTTATAAGATTCCTAGAAATTCTTGCAAAGCCAGCAATTTAAAAAGTTTAATTAACATTAAACTTTTTAAATTAAAATTCTTATCCGAATATTAATAAACTAATTATAAGATCTTTAATGTTTGCAATCAGCAAACATCTTTAAAGTCTAAATTTTAATAGCAGAATGAAAACTCATTTATTGTTTTTTACTTTACTTGCTAATGCAATGATTTCTAAAATATAATCTGCTTATTGGAATTTAAATACAAATAATTTGATTTTTTACATTTTCAAAATAAAAGATTATAAAATATATCAACTTGAGAAGTTTAAGTATTATTACAATTAAGTTTCTGATACTTACGTTAATCCCCCCAATCCGATTGATGTAAAAAAATTTATGGCAAATCTTGTATTTCGTGACGTGTCTCTTGGAAATAAGCCATCAAATGCTTCTTGCATTGTCCTAATTACAAAAAAATGCATCTTATTAATGAATGATTTTATAATATGTCAATATAAATTTTAAAAAAAATCATTTATCAAAATATTACTAATTTTCATAAGTTACATAAATAATTTCTTATGTCGTATATATAACAAAGTTAAAATTCTATTTTCTTAGCAGTGCTCTTTATAAATTTTCCAGATTGCTACTTTCAGAGTCTTTTATTACAAATCATTACTCTAATACATAAAATTATTATTAAATAACAATTATTTCAGAATTTCATGTATTTAAAAAAAACATTAATTAGCAAATTTTAATTAAACATTTACAAAATACAAACTTTATATGAGAAAAATAAGCATATTAATTATTCTTGCACTCAACTAGAATACTAAGTACTTTTATGCTGTATACCTATAATATTTATAATTTTTGATCATTATATATACAAAAAACACTGCAACATTTAAAAATAATGTTCTTATTATGTTATTTATTCTAGTAACAACAAAAACCGAAATAATTTTAAACTTACGGATCTTTAACTCTTTCATTTAATTTTAACAATCCCATGTATTCGCATAACTCCTGAAATAGGATTTTGATAAATATGCGAGATGATGACGTGGTATCATCTTCGTTCAGTTTAATGTGTGATAAAACCTATTGAATATCAAGAAAAAGAACAGACATAACAGTTATAAATTTTAAATAATGTTCTTATTATGTTATTTATTCTAGTAACAACAAAAACAGAATTTTAAACTTACGGATCTTTAACTCTTTCGTTTAAGTTTAACAATCCCATGTATTCGCATAACGCCTGAAATAGGATTTTGATAAATATGCGAGATGATGACGTAGTATCATCTTCGTTCAGTTTAATGTGTGATAAAACCTATTGAATATCAAGAAAAAGAACAGACATAAGAAAGAATTTTTAAAAAATTAAAAAATGGTATAAAAGTAACATAATTATCTTAAATTAACTAAATTATATATTACAAAATAATAATAGAATACCAAAGCTTAATTTTAGAGTGGAAACAAAAAATAGAAGCATACAGATCCCTGGCAAATAGAAAATTTTATGTATTGAATAATTTAGAAAAATTAAATTAAATAATTTACATAACTTGCCAAACAGTATTAAAAATACTGATAACTTAATAGGAAATATTAAAGTATTTAAAATAGATGAAAACCATAGATTACTAATCTTAGATATAAAGCAGTGGTTCCCAAACTTTAGGAAGCTTTTGGGAGTATTCCTCCCCCATAGGGAATCACATGCAATGGCACCTGCCCTGCATCTGCACAAGTGTTTATTGCTCTGTATTCAGTATTTATTTTATTTTATCACAAATTAAATAATACTGGTAAGGTTTGGGTGTAAATATGAAGAAAAGTACAATTTCACTATTAAAACCTACAGATATACCTATCAAATAAACTTTACACACTTTGCACAAATAAAATGGATAATATCTGTACAATCAGGAGTTCATTCCTTCTGAATGAAGTCATAATAAATGTAAATTAAAGAAAATTTTTACATATTTTGAATTGCACATATAATCCATGTTTGGTCCTAACTCTCTCAGTCCCACGCACAGATCATTTCCCACATTAACCCATGAAACTGTATTATTTGACAGTTGAATAGTTCATAATGCCTTTGCAGCTTCCTCTCCATTTATAATGCAATACATTTCTACAGTTTTCTGAAGCAAGAAATTCTTGGCAACAGCGTGCAATTTCTTACATTTAGCAATTTTCATTGCAATACTACATAAGAAGCTTTAAAAACCAGAACAACAAACACAGAAGACCAAAACAATAGAATACAAAATACATGTCAAACATTTCCATTAAATAATTATCCTTACAGAGTAATTGAAAAATTGCTAGAAGAGCATAAACTGAAAAAAGATAAAACAAAATCTAACATTTTATAAATTAGAATACACCCCACCATTCTATGAAAAAGCCCAAATTCTATACACCCCACCATTCTATTAAAAAACAAGAAAAGAGAACAAACAGAATCTATTATAAATCCATATTCAGTTAATATAAATCCATAAATCCATATCCACTACTTCAGTTAAATTTCCTGTAATATATTTCTTTTTTGTTTCATAAGACCCATGATACAGGTTCATTCACACATTACTTGAAATTGTTAATACCATTACCACTGTTAATATTACAATAGTACTGGAAGTTTTCCAGTTATCGATTTATCATCCACATAATCAACACTATGTAAAGGACAAACTGACAAATTATTATGAACAGATAACAGCACAGAATAAAACTTTGAGAAAGTATTATAAGCTTAAATATAGTGATAACTTAGTGTTTTGCAATCTTTTCTCTTCCATTTCTTAAAAGAACTGTGTGTATGACAATTCCATGATTAATGTACAGTACAGCATCTTATCAATAGAAGTTTCCCATTCACTTAACATTCAGGTAATTTGTATCACAAATATTGTAGTTTTTTTCTTTGAATTTTTCTAGTATTAAACTCTTAATAAAGCAATTTCAGTTGTAATGTTAATTTTTTATGTTTGCATTTATAAGTTATAAGGCAACATCCACAGAACTAAATACATTCTTTATTGGCGATGTTTTCCACTTCAAGTGAATAGAATATGATTTGAATGTGCAACATGGTGTAGAAACCATCAATACCTGTAGTAATTTCTAATTAACTTTTCAAATTAACTATTTGACTTCAGTATATTCCGATTCCGACAAAAGAAGTTCCATTTGTGAGAAATACACACTTATAATGACAGCAAACAAAACTCTCTACTTCTACACTATTTAATAAAGAGTTGTTTTGCATGCATGGGAGCATAAAAATGCACAAAAAAATCTTTTCTGCTCATTTAATTAAAGAAACTAACATATATATATA